TATAAGACGCACGTATGAACTCACGGGAGGCCCTTTTCGTTGACAGACACCGGAGGCCCTTGGATGAACTAATACGAGCACGTGTGGTAATGTGTGAGTATGGCAATAAAAAGGAACATAATGAGATGAAGAAAGAAAAAAGAAAAAGAAAACATCATTAACTGCCTATTTCGTGGAGTGCGTAGGCTGGCATATTTGTATGATATATGACAGATAGGGAAACAAGACACGAAAACGGGAGTAGTAAGTAATTGGCATATGCTACGACGCTTGTGCTGCCCAAGTATAGTAACGTATAAGACGCTTGCGGTGTTAGCTCCTAGCTGTATATAGATACTCCTAGATGGTAACGCTAAGCAAAAAAGGACAGTAGTAGTAAGGGTAAAAGCGATGGATGCATGGAGCGATGGAGAAGAGCGGCGGGCATAAAGCAAAGCGAGAGATAAGACACAAGATTACCGGGCCCCAGCCCAAGTCAGGGCAATGATACGTACCTTTGGTAGGAGTACTGGATACGCTGCTGGTCCGTCGAGCGACGCGCGTGCCGCCGGCATCTCCTTTGCCGCGCAAACGGCATGGACCTGATTGTTCAAAGCCAAAGTGATCAGACCCAATCCAATCTTTTCTCAACACAAGTATACATCATCCCAAAAGAAAACGGAAAGAAAAGGCACAGGCTACAAAAATGTGTAGATATACACACGTAACCTCGCGAAAAAGAAAAAATTGAAGATAATAATCACGAAGAACTCGTTTGCCAGCTTCGTTTCAAGCACGTACGTGAACAGGGAGAAAGGGCTGTCAGCTGCAGGCAGCGAACTGCACTGCAGAAGCCATCAAAATCTGCCGGCGAGTGACAGACAAGAACTCGTGCCACAGAAGGTGAGAGGTGGATCGGAGCTGCATGTGCTGGCGCGCACGAAAAAATTGCGAGGTCGATCTTACCGGAGAAGAAGAGACTGGCGAATCCGTAGAAAAGAGTACTAGCAGAATTGGGCGAAAATTAATCCGTACGTTGAGCATGCAGTGGTTCTGACCCGTCTGTACATGCGTATATACGCTGCACCCGTAGAATTAATGGCGGGGACGAAGCTAGAATAAAAAAATCTTGATGGATCATGTATATGACGGTGAGGAGTGATCAGTAGTAAGCCAGCGAAGGATTTTCCGATTTCCAAATTTTAATGGCTGTACACGCACACAAAGAAAACATCGTATAGCAGAAGAAATTAAACCAGCGTTCCGTTTGAAGAAACAGAGAAGAAACCAGCGCCGGCGGCAAGCGAGAAGCATGGCAGGAAGGGACATCCATCACCTTTGGCGAGAGCACGCGGCAGCAGCCGGGGTTCACCGTGGCGGAAGGGCGCCCCCGCCGGCGAGGAGAGGCGGAGCTGCATGCTGGCCGGGCTGCAATATGCATGCACGTGCCTCAATTCCACCGCCTGCGGGTCGCTCTATTTATAACCGTCGATCCAGCCCCGACGAGGAGCTAAGGACGACGATGAGCTGATGGTGACGGCGATCGAGCGAGGGGATAAGGATCGGAGCGCGCTGGTTTGGGCAAGTGATTAACAGGGGCAGTTAATGGGCAAAAAGCAGGAAAAACACGAGGTTTATTTGGAGGGATGCCTAGCTATGTGTTGGTGGGTGCATATATATGCAAAGGGTAGCGAGAGAATGGGCTGGGCTGGGCTGGGCAGGGTTGGAGATGGTTAGAGAGGAAGGAGGAGGAGGGAGACATAGGGCTTGTGGGAGAAGGGAATGATTCGGGGCGAGGAAAGCTCCTGGTAGTGGACAAAAACCTTAAACCGTCTCCCTTGTGAACGGGTGGTGCAAGGGCGACATTCTCTTCCCACACGCGATGATGCTCCTCTATAATCAGTCCAGAGACTTCTTTTTTCTTCAAGTGTTGTTGATCTGTTTTGGAGTGAAAGAGAGGGCAACCGTAATCTATATATGTATGGGAATATGATATTACTGTCCACCGTGTGGTATCTCCCGATCAATCATCGTCCCTGCGGCAAAACACTCATTTCACATCCTGGTAAAGCCGAATCCACATAAACAAGGAATTAGTAGAAGGGGAAGTGCATGGATGAATCCGGGTATATATGAACCCACTTTGAAAAACACATTTTTAAATGCTAGAAAAAACTCCAAAAAAAGGCGGCACGGATACGTATTCATGTTATATGTGTGTGCATAATGTTTCACGGAAAAATAATTTTTTTTCAGCCTGTGCAAAAAAGACAAAAAAAATGTGTCCTAAAACGCTATTTAGAAGCACTGAAATTTATTTTTTTTGCGGAGACAAAACAATAAGATATTTTTTCGTAAAACTTTATGCTGCGCACACACATTTGTGAACATGTATGCATAGAATTTTCTTTTAATTTTTTTTATTTTAAAACATACTTAAAATGCATTTTTTTAAAGTGGGTGCAGATGCCCGTCATGCCCTAGTAGAAGCTAGAAGTGGAACTTCATTTCAGTGCCTGCATGGAAGCAGGGGGAATCCTATTTAGGGGGATCCTATTTAGGGCTGTAGGCGTCAGTTTCTTCTGTTTCTGCAAACCGGCGCCTGCAGGCGCCTTAGCTGGGCTCAGCCCATTTAGCGTTTGTTTTTATCCGTTTTGAAGTGCAAAATTGGTGCGAGCCAGAGAATCAATCTCTAGACCTCTGCGCTCTCAGCGCACTGAGCTAACCACTAGGGCCATCGCGAACTTATCAATGGAAACCGCTTCCATACTTTATTTCCTCCCCAATTCGGATCTCTTTTTTTTTCTATTTTTCTGTCCATTTTTCCTTTTCTATTTATTTCTTTTTTTTGAAATGCTTGATTGTAAATCGATGAATTTTTTCTTAATAATCAAAGAACGTTTTAAAAAAAATTCATGAACTTTTATCCAAATTGTTGAACTTTTTCAAACTTTGTGAACTTTTTTTAACATTTGATGAACTTTTCTCAAAAATCCAAGAACTTATTTTCAAATTCGATGAACTTTTCTCAAATTTAATGAACATTTAAAATTCGTTGACCTTTTTTTATAAAAAATCAATGAACTTTTTTTCAATTTCAATGAAATTTTTTCAAGTTTGATGATTTTTTTTATTTTGATGAACTTTATCTGAAATTCGATGAACTTTTTTACAAAATCTGTGAACTCTTTTCAAAATCGATGAACTTTTTTCAAAATTGAAGAACTTTTTTTTCAAATTGGATGATTTGCTTTCAAATTCAATGAACTCTTTCTCAAATTTGGTGAACTTTTTCATTCAATGATCTTTTTTTCAAATTGGATTAAAAAATTTCAAATTCGATGAACTCTTTTCATTTTCCATTTTTGTGAAGTTTTCTTTTCATTTCATGGTTCATGTGAATGCTTTTTCATATTTATGTTTTCTTTAGTCAAATAATTTATAGTGGGTACGCAATACTAGTACTATATGTTTAATGTTTGTACTGGATGAATGTCAAAGTGCTTAGTTTTCCACAAGTAATCAACAAACTAAACATGGTCCAGTGGTTAACTCGTGTGGGCTTCTACTAGGGCGTCAGCAGTTCAAGTCCCATGTCTTTCCGAATTTAACCTGGCATTTTTCTTTGTCTTTTGCTTTATAGCACGTTGCTGGGCCGGCCTACTTCCTGTCCTTGCGAGCGCCAGGGGCGCGACCCGGCGCCTACATCACTGAATAGGAGATCCCTGGAAGCAGCATGGAGCTACAAACGAAGACTGTGCGGGCCGGGCTGAATTTGATGCTAAATCTTGGTTGTTGCCTTGTAGCGTTGTGTATTCATGGGCTGGGCCTAGGTGAATTTCTATAAATTTTCTCAAAAGTTGGGTGGGCCACGGCCCATTCGGTCACAACGTGGCTGTGCCGGTGCATGGAAGGTAGTTAGGCTAACTCCGACGGCCTTTCTCAAAAAAAAAGGCTAACTCCGACGGCCACCACATCTGGTCCGGCCGCGTCTGTTTGGGGCTAAACGGACACAAATCGCGGCCCAACGCACCCCTTCAAATGGACTGGCATCCGTTTTTCGTCCGCCTTCGACCCCGGCCCAAACTTGGGTCACGTTTGCATCGAAACGGACAAGGCGCGGATGCACACAAGCGCTCTTTTTGTCCTCCCCCGGCCCGCCCGTCGGAGGAATATACCCCCTTTCCCCCTTCCTTACGCGGCTTGCACCTCTCCCTACCCCCTGCCATAGCCATCGCCGCCCGGCCGCTCCGTCGCTGTCTAGGCCGGCCATCCAACAGCCTCGCAGCTCGACACAATCCCTACCCTCGCCCATTTTCAGAGGAGTTCTTGCCGGCGTTTGTGGGCTTTCTTCGCCGCCTCCGATACTACGGAAACCACAGCCATCGGCGATGCCCATCGGTCCCAACACCACCCCCTAGCGCTACAGGCCCGCCTCCCGCACTCATCTCCTCTACTACACGTCGGCTGTCTATACGAGGAGGCCGAGGTGCTCTTCACCAGCCGCGTCCCAACCACGACCCCCAAGGTGTTCGACACTTTTCTTGCAAGGTGCCATGGATAGCGGGGACAAGTATTTTTGTAAAACTTCATTTGTTCATCGGATGACTCGTTGTTGGATGACAAGTAGCTTGTGGTTCCTGCATTGGTTGTCAATGAACACATTGCTAGGCAGCTGCCTAGGTTCAGGGGATCAATCCCGGGCCATGCTCCAGCATTGAACCACAATAGAGAGAGAGAGAGAGGTCATTCCCTACTCTATGTCGATTACTTTGAGAGTTCCCCTCTCTTCAAACCCCATCATTTCCGGCACCGTTTTCGAATGGCGAGGCATGTGTTCAGTCGTATACGGGAGGGAGTGGTAGCATATGATAATTACTTTGAGTGCAAAGATGATGCCCTTGGTAAGGTTGGCTTCTCCTCTTATAAGAAATGCACAACGGCTATTCGTATGCTTGCATACAGAATTCCTGGTGATCTTCTGGATAAGTACGTCCGCATGAGTGAGTCCACATGTTGCGTATTAGTGTATAGGTTCGCAGGGTCGTGGTGGCAGTGTTTGGCCTGAGTACCTGAGAGATCCAAATGTCATAGATACATCCTGGTTGTTGGCGATCAATGCAGATAGAGGCTTTCCGGGAATGCTTGGCAGCATAGATTGTATGCACTGGAAGTGGTAGAACTGTGCATTAGCTTGGCAAGGGTAGTACAAGGGGCATGTGAAAGGTTGCACTATCATACTTGAAGCGGTCGCTTCACGAGATCTTTGGATATGGCACTCTTTCTTCGGCATGGATGGTTCTCAGACATCATCATGCTTTAGTGTTCTCCAGAGTCCGCAAGGCTTGCAGAAGGCCACTATTCAGAGGTCAACTTTGATATCAATGGCCACCTATACAACAAGGAATACTACCTAGCTGATGGTATTTATCCTCAGTGGTCAACTCTTGTGAACACAATATCCAATCCGGAAGGAGAAAAGAAATAATGATTTGCCCAAGCACAAGTGAGTACTAGAAAGGACGTGGAGCGTGCTTTTGGTGTGCTTCAATCTTGAAGGGCTACCATTCGACGCCCTGCACTGATATGGACCACCGAGAAGTTTTGGGAGGTGATGACTGCTTGTTTGATCATGCACAACATGATCGTGGAGGATGAGCATGATAACAACATCTACGCCCAAGGGTTTGAATACAAGGGTAAAAAAATTGTGCGTGAACACCAAGAACCGGCAACGTTTGAACAGTTCACCTATGTCGTGGGAAACCATGACCACCTATGGGGCCATGACCCCCTTTTGGTTCGGCGGGGAGGGGGAATGGGCATGTTGCACAAAGCGCGGAGAAGCGTAATGCAGCGCAATGGAGATCACATGGGCAGTTTTACCCAGGTTCAGGCCGCCGTGAGGCGTAAAACCCTACTCCTGCTTTGGTGGATTGATGGTGGGGAACGTAGCGCTCTTGCCCGACAAGGTTTGCCTCGGGGCAAGAGTGCTACACGCGTATGAATATGCGAGGGTCTGAATCCTCTCTACGGTTGCCATGGGCCTCCTTTTATAGATAAAGGGGTCACCACAGCAGCAAATCAGTCTTTTTACACACTGATTAGATAGCAAACAGTGCTATCATACCTAACTTCGCAGGCGGACAGAGCGCATTAAATGCGCCGCTCAGTGTCACATCACAACGTGCCCGGTAGGCCTTGCCGGGCTGTTTTGCCAGCTTCACGCCTGCTTGCTTGACATGTCTCAGGACAGGTGTCATTTGGAGGTGTTTCCTGTAGGAAGTGGCTTCCATGTGGCAGGAAGCAGCCACTTAGTCACTTGGGGTCTTTACACCGCACCGATCGGTGACGTGCATTGCTGTGAGGTGGTGTGGTGGGGTAGTTCACCTCCGTAAGCCCCGCCAGGCCTGCTGGG